GCCTATATATGTGCAATATTTTAACCGAGCCCTCACTAACTGAGTTTAATGCCACAGTTATGTTAGAACGCATCTCATTCTTGTTTCTGTGGTGGTGCGTCGGGCTCATCATGGGACGCGCGGTCCTGAGCGCTGTATGACTGATGTATCTGCTTAATTTAAATTTACTCCAAATATATTAACTTACCCGGTTTAAATACTTTATATTTAACATGTTTGTTTATGTCCAATATTTAATGTTAAACTGTTATACAATAAATCTACTTTTGATTTTCTCCATTGACTGATTTTGCAGACCTGACAGATAACTTCCGTGCTCCGATGCGGCAAACTTGTCACAGGACGCGCGGTCCTAATAGCGATGTATGACTGTTGTATCCGAATATATATGAACTAGCTGTTTTAAATATTTTTGTATTTAACATGTTAGTTTTTCAGTATGTTTGAAAGTATATTATTTTGATTCGTGGTGCTTCCATAGGGTCCCTCTCTCTTGGTTTAAAACACCAAATAGTTATGAAATAGCCTATGACAAGTACAGGGAGTCTCTCTCTTGCCTCCACCCACCCATGCACGATAATATCATCTATCGGCGATCACACGGACTGGCGATATGACGATTTGAAAAATGACCATATCACCCAACACTAGTATTAATTAGGGATGCGCCGATCCGATATTCATATCGGGTATCGGCTCCGATAGTGCCATTTTTCTCGGATCGGGTATCGGTCAGAGAGAGCCGATCCAAATCCGAGATTTTATTATTTTTTTCCGATTGTGCGAATTATTCTGTGTTACTTCCATACTATAGCTTAATGTGAGCTACATATGAATATTTAAGTCCTTACATTAAAGTTCACACAAACTCTTTTCTCCGCTGTGGCTGTCAGTCATTCGTTCAGCCTTTAAACCCTGGTCGCGTTCGGTTACAGCAGTCAGCTCGGTAAAGCTCTCTCCAAGATCATTCTGTGTTCCCATTATACTTCATTTGTAAATACATGTCTATGATTTAGCAAAAAGAGCGCGTACAATGTGCGCATCCGGTGTGCAGAATGATGCGCTTGAAAGCAACACGGCGTCAGGCTGCACACCGGATGCGCACATTGTAAGCGCTTTGTGCTCATAGACTGTATAAAAACAGTTCGTGCTGCACTGTATTTGTTTTGTCCTATCGTATCTATCATATGTTGTTGCCTTGTTAAAAAATATGCTATACATTCAAAAGAAATGTATTTTAATTTATAGTATATACTTAAACATATATGAATGTTTTTAATGAATGGATTTTATAATACAAATAGCAATGTGTAACATTTTACCATATTTAGTGCAACACTTTTATTTGTTCCCCACAAAATATAGTTTTTTCACTAAATGTTTGGATTTCTAAAATTATTGTGCACTGATTTTTCTAGAATAACTTTTGCTGCCGAATTATACACTAACCTAGTTTATGAAATTTTTTTGTCATAGATTATAAATATACATGGGCCTATATTTTTTCATATTTATTGTTTATTTTATTTTTCTTTATAATGAAGTAGTCTGTATCTAGTAGATTGTGAAAGAATGATTATCAGTTCCACACACAGAGATATATAAATTCTACATTTATTTAAATGGGGGAAAAAATCTTCACTGGTATCGGATTGGTATCGGCCAATACCGAACCCTAGGTATCGGAATCGGTATCGGAGGCGAGAAAGGCGGATAAACAAAATCCCATCGCACATTATTTCCACATTTCAGAAATTAAATGTGTTGCAAATACAGTTTTATTTTGTCTTTACATTTTGTTTATCTGGCTTTTTTTCTTCAGAAATGATGATTTCAAGTTCCTCTTTTCTGCTTCCTCATCTTTTCCTACGAATACTGACAAGAAAGATGAAGATGCAATCATACGGATATCACAAAGGTCAGGGGTTCAAGTTTACTGCTTGTTCTAAGATTATTTAAGATCTTGCATGATCTGAGGAGGCCACACACTGTGTAAAAAAACGTAATATCTGCTGATGAGCTGACCTTTATTTCACATCTCCTCTGCAACAGACGGTGAGCATAGCTGGAAATCGTCAACTTTTCTGAAAGAATTAACACACCTGCCACAACACATTTAGCACTGACTGTCAAACTCAATGAGCTTTGTGGTCATACACTGTGTGTTATTTATATCCTACATCAAAATGTGAAGCAATTCTTCTTTGTTAATGATGCAAAACATTTTTTTTTTACTCTGAAGGCACATTTCCAAAACATCTCTCAGCTCCGGCCCTTCAAAAAAGCAACAAACTGTCGAGCTAAAGAAAAAAAGAATGTTTTTGCTGCTTGAGTATCTAAATATTAGAGTGAAGAGCACAGAATGTTCAGGATATGCGTTAGGGGAGTATTGGCGGGTTTGCATGAGACGCGTTATGTGAGATAACATTCTCAAACAAGAGAAGTGAAACGTCCACCCCTCAGCTTTGTTCAGCTGAATGACAAATCTGATATTATCAAGGGACTTTATCTGTTTGGCAATGAGGTAGTGGTCATTCAACAAGGTCCGCCTACATGTCGCAATATTTCAAAATAAAGAGCAGACGTTTTTTGCATTCTGAGAGCTTTTGCAGCTTTGGTGTAAGGAATACTGTGCAATACAACAGTGAACAAGTACAAAGTCTAAAACCTTTAGTTTCTTTTAGAAAAGGATGACACAAGGAAAATTAAGCTTCATCAATGCCAAGCATTAACTTTAACCTAAGGATGGAGGTATAGATATTAGAAATTAGGAAACATTTCACCCTGTTACAGCCACTTTTAAGCTGGTTAAACACTGTTTCACACTTTGGTTATGAACAGAAATAAAGCAATAATCGGTTATTCACCAACATCCACACAGTTCACAGGTACAGTTATATATGTGCGCTGCCATGTGAAATATTATTACAATTTAAAATAACTGTTTTCTATGTGAATATATTTTAAAATGTAATTTATTTCTGTGATCAAAGCTGACTTTTCAGCATCATTACTCCAGTCTTCAGTGTCACACGATCCTTCAGAAATTATTATAATATGCTGATTTGGTGCTCAAAAAACATTTCTGATTATTATCAATGTTGAAAACAGTTGTGTTATTTTCCTAGTATAATATTTTTTCAGGATTATTTGTTAAATAGAAAGTTCAAAAGAGCAGCATTTATTTGAAATATAAATTTAAATGTATTTGCTGTCACTTCAATTAGCAATTCAATGCATCCTTGCTAAATAAAAGTATTAATTTCTTTCAAAGTCAAGTCCATGCTTAGTCAAGTTCACAGTTTTATACTGATTTTTTTTTTTACATAACAATTAAGTGAGAACTATGTAGCATTTTAAGCTTAATAGTGGCAAACAAAAGTAAGGAAAGAGTATAAAATTACATTTCAGAGATGAAAAAAATTTCAAATCTTACATAAATAGAATTAATAATAACAAAAACTTGTTTTATTGTTGTAGTCTAATGATGATTTATTTATTATTGTGACAAGCTGATAAAACAGCAATAAAGAATCAGTTCAGCATTAGGCTTACTGGACCAAACAATGATCAGTATCTGTCATGAAAATAAATTCTACTGATGTACATCTAGTTGTCAAGCCATGCTTCAGAGAGCCTGGATTCCTGCTAAATGCATTGTGAATTACAAACCAAGTGTGAAAAACTAAACTTAGGCTTATGTTACCCAGTGTTTCCCAACCCTGCTTCTGGAGGCACACCAACAAGTGCAACTTTCAAACTCTTTTTAATGAAACACACCAGGCCACCAGTAGAGACTCCAAGAGCTCGAGTGGATGAGTCAGATAAAGGACACATCCAAAATCTGTAGTGTTGGTGTGCATCCAGGATCACTGTTGGGAAACACTGCGTTAGCTCAATGTAGAACTTTGGCTTCATCATTTCTATTGTGAAAAGCACAATTCTGGCCACCAGATTAAACATTGTAAACACAGTCTACATTTGTTCTCGGTTTACCCCATCTGTACAGATCAAACATAAAACAGTTTTTGGCCAAGTGTATGAATTGACTTTAGGGGAGAAAGTGAGAGAAGCAGAAGGAAAATACTCACTCATTTCTCTCCAAGATGACGACATGTTCTTTTCCTTGAGCTTGGATTATGTATGACACCTTAAAAAGACGAAAAATGAGAAACCGTTTCTTTTACAGGTTAAGAAAACAAGCAGCACAAAGAGGATATAAAGGGAGTCAAAATTATTTTTTTTCTTCTTCTTCTTTTTTATGAACAAATCTAATAAGTAAAGGGCATTTTTGTAAGCATAGTACTGACCTAGTTCACTAATAAAGCATAACACATCCAGCCCTGCTTCCTTTGCTAAAGTATGTGGTCTCTTTCCCATCAAAGCTGACTCATTTCAAACTTAGTACATTTGTGATGAAACCAAACAAAAAGGTAAGTTTCATTTAGTCTGTATTTCTAAGAAAGCACTGCACCAATAAACCAATAAACCCCTTGATAAATTCTAGGCAAAAATACACATGCGTGAAATGAATCAGATCAGAGAGAGACGACAACAGACATGCTGGACTGAACTAGGACTTCACTGCCTTTTACTGTACAGTTAGGAAAACATTTCTTCAAATGCAGCAACATTTGAATACTGTTGGTGCAATGCCAAATTTGAGACGTGAAAAGTTACATAACAGTAAACCCGCACATAAGATCATTGCAAACTAAGGGTGCCTGTACGGCAAAACCTGATCTGAATGTGACTTATATACTAGCTTAAAAACAAAATAAACACACAAGACCACACGTACAATATGTAAAAGTGCTGGGTAAAACCTAGTGATTTGAAGGATAGTTTGGTAAAGAATTAAAATGATGATTAATAAGTATTTGGGGACTGAACTGAGATCCTTAAAGAGTCTTTAATTGTTATTTAATGATTTTTGTTCCTGACAAGATTTTTTTGCCTATGAAATATGGACTCAGATAAGCTTAGTTAAGTTGATTTAAATTAAATAATTCAATATGAGAAAAGTCAAATCGTACACCTAACTCAAGAAAATTGAGTAATACAGAAAAAATTTAATGTTCATGTTTAGTGTATTTAATTAACTTGGGTTAAAATAAGTTCAGGGAAACGGTGTGGTAAGATTGATTGCTTTCAGGAAGTGGTGGCTATAGTGTGTGGGTGTGACATAGATTTTCCTTTGAACTCATTTTTGCACCTGCCCAAACACACGCACATATCTGACATTTACTGCAGCGTTCTGACAAACACAACTCTTCCTCTTGCTCTTTGTCTCTCCTTAAACTAAAGAAGAAAAACAAAACTAATATATAATAATAAATCAAACTAAATAACAACTAAAAATGGCAAAAGCATATAGCAAAATTGCTAACAAGAAAATAACTAAAATATAAAAATAACAGCTAATTCAAAATACCAATAAATCAAAGTTAAAAAGCATTTTAGAGTGAATAAAAACTTAAATTTGTCTGTTTGCATGTAGTCTCAGCCTCAGACGTCACGCCCACAGAACGTTGGCTGAACGTCTGATGCATACGGCACACAAAAGTGGAAACACTTCAGGAGTTTCGAAGTCGTCATCGGATTGGTTGAATTCTACAGGATTTCCGGGAGACGTGTGTGTCGCGTTCTGTAACGTTCCGTGACGACGAGCGCTTATCAACTAAACGCTGTCGCTGGATTTTCAAAAGTATGTGAAATATTTAAAGTTCACGGCACAGAATCTTTCAAATACGTCCGAGAGTTTTACACACCGGTCTGTTATTGTGGCGACATTTCCACGCCCCGAAACGGGACGCTGAAACGAAACGAACTGTGACTGGTTGTTTGACATGTCGGTCAAACGGCCTCATGGGCGGGCTTTGGCCAATGAAAGCTGCCATGAATTCCAGACCTTCAGCCGTCAGTCTGAAGGTCTAGCAACGCGAGACTAGTTTGCATGAAGCTATCGTATGACTTACTCAGAAACAACTTTTTTTGTGCTTTTCTTTCCCTCCTTTTTGGTTATTTCTGGGAAACTGGTTGGACATTCTGCCTAAGATGTCCTTTTGTGTTTCACAGAATAATAATAAAAAAGAAAACAATGACTTATATAACTTAATAATAATAACTTAATAACATAACGGGAATTCAAGATAAAGTAACAAAGGTGTAGCAAATGGCCTTTTTAAATGTTCTGTTACAAACAAATGTCTTTCATGAAAAATGTCATCAAATGAATAATGTTGATTCATTTTTTTTAATCAACGAAACTTCTGCGTGAATGTTGCTTCTTTATAAACGGAGTTAAGGGTTTCAAGGCTATGCCAGCAAAACTGTGTTTTCTCAAACACTCTGTCATCGAGCAAACTCTGAGCAGCCCACGGTTTCTCAATGACACAGAGGTAAGAGGAGCATTGTGTGTGTTTGTTTGTGCCATGCGTCTCTCAGCGAGGTCCTGGCAGAAGCAGACTTTTAATAACTACGCCCACGCTGCTGCGCATGTGTGCCGGCCAGATGGTTCCTGTGGCATTATCTTTGAAACACCGCTGGTGTAGATATGAGCAGATACAAAATCACTGATAGGTCACAATTAACACAAAAGAGGACATAGAGAGAATGAGAGGGACATGCTAAAGATCCTATCCACAGAGCTAATGGCTAGTGAGTGGGAGCTCATGAAAAGATACCATTAAAAATTTATTTGACAATTTTTTAATGTATTTCTGCAGTTTGGAACACAGTTCTCTTTAGTTATCTTTTACTGGAGTATTACATGTAAAAGAGTTGTATTACAACTGCACCTTCCTTACAGCATACTGTATTTACACAGTTATCTTAAAGAAAAAATATAATTGGGTAAATGAAAAATAAGTGTGTTTAAGATGAAGAAAAGGTCAATTCTTTTAGAAATCTAATTTGAAATGCATGCGCCAAGTTCTTAGAAATGTTTTCTTTGAAAATAATGTTGGTTTTAAAAAACATCTTCACCATATTCCTTTATATGTTTTCAAGAAGAGTGAATTTGTCTCAGATAATGTAACGTGAACATACTTTCCTTACACTTTGAATCTTAATAATTATAAAAAAAAAAAAACATTTGAAAATATATTTAAGGTCAAATATTTGTTAATTAATAAAACAATTAATATAATGAATATAATGGTTTTGGTGAGTCAACCCACAAGAAATTTTACATATTGAACTAACCTCGTCATAAAATTATCTGAAATTTTAAGAGACTTATTGATCTTGGCATCTTGATCTTTTTTTGTCAATTTGGTCGTACCACATGACATTGATTTGAAAGACAAACGTTTTTTAAAATATTTACTTCACAGTTTTTCTCTAAAAATAATAATACAAGATTATGCTAAAGATAAAGGTGTTCTTTCCAAGAATTTCATCTTTCTAATAAGGATTGTTTTTGTTTTTTTTTACATTGCGACATCAGGACAGTTGTACCACTTTGACATTCTTGGCTTTATGCAGCCAAAAAACAATAAATAAATAAATATTTTTTTAATTCAGAGATCATAAACATGTTGATTATGGAAGATAAGCGTTGAAGTATTTTATGTAAGAATTTAATTTTTAATCTATTTTTCAATAATTTGATAGAACTAAACAATAAAATGAAAGTCATATCAGTGAGCCAATAATCAAATACTTTCTCTACTTTTAAAAACCCAAACTTCTGCTCAGAAAGGTCTAGTTTCTTGATTTAACTTGTTTTTACTTTAATGTAATTACTTTTCCAAATGCTGAACGCGTGTGATTAAAAAGCAAATGTGTGTGTGAGAGGGAGTTTGTTTACCTTATCTGCACTGTCCTGGTTTCTCCTCTGTCTGCTGATGCGTCTCGGTACCGTCACCTCATACGAGGAGAGCTGAGACGTCTGCTGGCTTACTGAGCCTATGAACAGAGACCGTCCCGTCACAACACTGTCTACCAATACACACACAATCAATTATACAAGCTATGCAGGAAAACAGTGTGACTTCAACATCTTGCACTGGATCTACAGGCAATGTCATTCATTTCTCCATCTATTTCCCTCTATTGTTCCTCCCACTGCAACAAAACATGTTTACATATCACTGCTATTGTGATCATCACGGGTAATTAGATTGAGTGCAATTGACTGGTTGGCAATCAAGTGCCAAGAGTTTCCTGTAGGTGGAAATAGTGCTGTGCTGCCACGGGTATCATGACATGGAGAGAGAGAAAGACCTCAGGAAGGAAAGGCATCCCACCCGCTCCTGAGTCACCACACAACAAGTTAGATGAGATTCCTGTGCTGTTTTCCCGAAAAAAAAAGAATGAAGGGCAGACAAGACAGAACAATTCATAATGCTTACTTGCTTGGTCTCTTTACTGAACATTCACACAAAATTCTCAGATTTATCTTGATGTCCTTCAAACATTAACATTCACATCATTCTCAGATCAAAACACACCCTCAGTTTCTCTAATAGCATGTGCGTTTAGCGCTAGTGTAGGAGCCTCTCCCTTTCTATACCTTAAATACTAAAATAAGTGTATGTAAGTAAGCAGTCATTTAGGAGACACAGTAAATATTACAAAGTATTACACAGAGCTTAATGTAGCCAGTGTTGACAGAACTGTCACATGCTCCATCAGACCAGTGCTGCGCTGTCACCACATCTTCATTTATCATGTATGTGTGCCATGGAAACTTACAAAATAATGTGCAGAATTTTTGAGAATATTATATTATATTTATATCTGTCATGAATTTACATTTATTATAGGTGTATAATTGGCAGTTATTAGCTACAGCACATTAACACACACACACATTTTAATAAACTAACAAAAGGTATAAATTAACTGGTTTTATTTGAGTCCTTTTAACATTTTAAAATGTTTTTATGGGTTAAATCAGGTAGAAATACCTCTTTATGGTAACAATTGCGGGCTATGATTTTTTAAAATCTTTTTTTGCTTGTTTAGAAAAAATTTAACATTTAATGAATATAGACAGATTTTTAAACACATGTTGCTATGAATAATCATTTTAATATTTATCTGTTTATTTTGTTGGTTGGTTGGTAGGTAACACTTTAGAATAGGGAACACATATTCACTATTAACTAAGAGTTTTCCTTCAATAAACTCCTAATTTGCTGCTTATTAATAGTTAGTAAGTTAGTTGTTTAGTTTAGGTATTGGGTCATTTTTAAGGCATCTAGAATATGGTCATCAGAATGAGGCATTAATATGTGCCTAGTAATAAGTACTAATAAACAGCCAATATGCTAGTAATATGCATGCTAATAAGTAACTAGTTAATAGTGAGAACTGGTCCTTAAAATAAAGCGTTACCATTTGTTTTTTTTTTACTACATTTTCCTGCTGTACTAGCTAAGTGTCACTCAAGACTTGTTTTGGTAACCCTTTACTAAATGTTTTCATTTGTTATTAACTACATTAGTTAACATGAACTATGAGCATTAATTTAATTCATTTTTTTTACTTCTACATTATTTATTTATCTTAGCTAATGTTAATTTCTACATTTACCAATACATTAATCAAAAGTTGTTTCTGTAACATTTGTTAATGGTGAACTGGCATCATTAACCAACATTAACAAAGGTTAATAAATTCTGTAAAAATATACTGCTCGTTATCTAAAGCATTAACTAATGTTAACAAATTGTAGAGTGTTACCCTTATTTTTACATTAAGAGACTCGTTTTTTGACAGTTTAAAAAGTTTGACAGTTTAGAGAGTTCACTTAACCAAGACAATGTCCTTGTCCTAATTCAAAGTATGGAAGACTTAAATGCAGTTAAATAATCAGTGAGATGTTCTTCTACTGGATTCCACAAATTAGCTCTTAAGAGTGGCAGAAATGACTTGCATGCATTTCATACTGATCTTAAAGTAAGAGCCTGTAAGACTCAAGGGCGAGGAGATGCCCATAAATTCGGAATTAGCCCAAATACGGTGTTATTGAACTGCTTAAGCTTCTTAAACCTTCACACAGCCAGACGAGGCAGAGATGAAGGTATATGACGACCAGACATGATATTGTTTCCTATCAAAATAAAATCTCTCTATAAGTGAAACACCAATTTTGTAACGTGCATGTTTTTTGGAAAGCGAGTGATTTCACTACACCTAAAACAAATGTAAATGTAAACAAATAAAGAGCATAAGGTCTATGGCAAGCTTTTTTAACATTCTTTGAATCTGAATAGCACTTATTTTTATGTTACTAGTGCAAACTTTTTAATCACAAATAATACAACAGTGACTAGCATGTTTTTCAACATTTAACGAAAGTATACAACTGATACTAATATTTATTACAAAAGTAAAGAGTATCCATTAAATTAGTTACAAGAATATATTCATCACATATTAGTAATTTTTTAATATACTGTTGTATGGTTACTAGTCACTAACTGCACATTTTTTGTCATCAACTTCTGTGGATCTGCATTATAACTCTTGCCATTAACTGTTTTGGCAATTAACTATTGTGATTGTGCCAGTAACTATTCATTACACACCAGTAATTAGTTGTTAATAACTACCCCAATAGTTAGTGGTATTTATTCCAGTTTTACCAGTATTTAAGATACAACAAGAATAATGCATTATTATATGTATTATGTACTATTTTTTTTTTTCTTTTAATACAAATTTATTATCAAAATCACATTTCTGTCACAATTTCTTAAATGTTAAATTTTGACAGGTTGTTGTGAAGATCTTTGAGTTTGTGTGTGTGCACGATATGACGAAAACTTTTTATCAAATGAAATGCTGAAATGCTTGTGAAGCGAACCTCAGAGCAGCTCTGGAAATGAAGTACATGAAGTTAAAGTTTCAATAGCAGTCTTTTTGCACTTTAATATTCATTAACACTAGTCCATATGCAATTGATGATGAGTACAGACCTACTTTTAAGGTATTCATTCAAAATTAGCCAAATTCAGTGATATTACGCACTATACTGTAAATTCCATTTTTATGGCTGGATTCTGTCCATGTTTTCTGCATCACATCACCAAAATCATATGCGGCTATATGTAATAGCTACTCAGAATTATTACTTTACAGTTAAACAACAACAACAGCAAAAAAAATCGTGCTAGTAAAATAAATAAAAAAATGCTACTAGCAAAAACTGGAACACACAACAAGTGTAGTAAACTGAAACTAGTAGGCAAATAAATAGTTGACAGTAAATCTAAAACAGCTACCAGTAACATCTGAAACAATACCAGTTGGAAGTGAACAGCTGACCACAGATTCTACAAATTATAGAATGGCAAAATTTTGCAGTTTGTTTCCAGGTTTCCAGCAAAGATAATTTGTTATGAATAATATTGACTAAATGAGTAGATACTAGTAATTGGAACAAATGAATAGTTAGTAATGAAACAAAAAAAAAGGATTACTTGCTACTACTAAAAACGTGCTAGTAACATAATAGCTACTATTTCGTTTTAAGGAACACGTTAAGACGGCTTGCCATAGTGGTGCCTATATGCTAGTGTTATTTTAGGTGAACAAAAATGGCTTATATCAAAGAGCCAGCAGCACTGTGAAGTGTTGTGGACATTAGGTGACTCGCAATGGTGTGTGTTCTCTCACCTCCACTGCAGTCGATGAGCGCGTGGAGCATCAGCCACATAAAGGCGCCTTTAGCGAGACGACAGCAAACTGCATTCACCATGTCTGTAAAGTATCCCTAACAAACCGCCGTCCCAAAGTAACGTCAAATGTTGTCCTCTCTTTCTTATCCAGGCGTTGTCCTCCAAGCAAAGGCAATAAGCCCTCTCCACATAACGTTCCCGTGGAGAAAATTAAATATTCCGCACAGTTTCAGCTACCTGGTCATTTTGTTACACTTTATCCGTGTGTAACAAGTTTGTTAAGGAGTTAGCCGGATGTGTTTGTATGGCAGAAAATGGTGCTGTTTCAGTTCTCTGTTGGAAATCTTTGGATTAGGCGATTCGCTCGGACTCGCATCTCCGATGAGCCCCGTCTGTTAGTAGAGAGCGAAACCGAGCATGCGCCACCAGTTTGCCTTTTAACCCTTTACTTTGGCCTGCTGTGACGATACAAACCACCAGAACACTAACTCACATGTGCTCTTTAATTACGTTCGGCCGCTAGCAAAAGTAGGTACTAAGGGAAGGAAAAGCAAAAATCGCCTTTTAAAGTAGTAAGTTTAGTTCAGAAGTATCGAATCGGTATCGATATCGACGATACTGCCTTGAAAAATATCGGTATCGTATCGAAAACAAAATAAGTGGTATCGCCCATCCCTAGTACACTAGTCAGTTTTTGTTGCTTTTTAGTTAGGGATAGTCTAAAAACTACACATTAATTTAACTCTTGTACTAACTTAACTGCGACGTTTTCCCCGTTTGAAACAACTATTGTTTATTTACAGTTAAGTCAAGGTAATCTATTAATTGTCACCAAGGAACCAAAGAAAAAACGAGTGTGAACTATTAAAGAACTAAACGAAACTACAAGTAATTTAGTTTGACTCGGCCCCTCAAATGAGTGTCACGTGTTATCGCGAGAGTTCCATCAACTGAGGCTTTGAGTCACATCTATGCTTTACTTTCAGTATATTTATCTTCTCTTTCATGACGGGAGGTGTTAGGTTAGTATAAATGTAGTTGTTGTTGTTTTTTTAAAGATTGGACATGTATGAATTCGATTTTAATAGCAGTGCTTTATTATCTTGGATGACTTTACTTGTTTCACGGTATGTTTATGCTGCGTCGCTAACTTTTACGTGTAAACACCAGGTTACTTTCATTTCTTCATAAATAATTATAATAGCGTGGTCAAGCCAGTTTGTTATAATGGACGTGTTTTATAAGATTATAATTCCAAATATGTTTATAATCCCAGTTATGAAATCCAACAGCAGATGTTCTGCAGATCAGTGTATTTGTTTGTGATTTCTTTACTTAGATTAATAAATAAATAAAAAAAGAACATTGTTTTGTGGAACTTTAAAAGGTTCTTCAATGGCACCAGGCTTTGGTTCTTAAGTGTCTAAACATGCTGTCTCTGTAGGCAGTCACTGTATCTGAAACAGCCACTATTTGATAATCGTATTCATTATGTTGTATAGTGGAATCAAGGCAGCTCCAACATGAATTCAACGGCGGAAATATTGGAGGACAACCTAGAGAAGATTTTGAAGGGTGAGGGACTGGAGGTGAGAGAGTTTGATTCGGTTCCTGAACAAGTGAAGCCTGTCACACTGAGGAAAAGCGTGTGTTACATTGTCGGCGCAGTTATCTTCAACTCAAAGGTAAAGATGGTGTCTTTGACTTTTAGAGTCTGTCCAGTGTCCGTTTATTACAGACAGCCCTCAGCTAAATGTATCTTAATGAGTTCCACTAATGAGCTGTAGAATTTGACTGGGAGCATGACAGTTCTCTCTTTTCACTGGCAGAAAATAGTTTGGTAGCAAGGCATAACATTAAAGGGGCTTTATCTTACACTTCACAAAAGCTAGTTTAAATTAAAATAGCTATCCAAACATTCAGGACATTTTATTCAACAGAAACCCTCTTGGTCATCTTTGACATGATCCCGATATTGAAAGATCTGTCTTTTTTGGGGGGTGGATTTCCAGGATAGATTTGAAAATATGAACATAAGTGTGTACCCAAAAAAAAAGGAAAAATTCTACCAGCTGACACATCTTACCCGCTCTCCCCTATTTGTATATGTAAACGGATGTTAAAATACATACCTCATCAACATATTCAGATACTTCATCTGTTTTCAATATTTCTGAATGTTTCACTACCTGTGGTTATTGTCAACTTGTGCATGTGTGTTGGTTTGCGTCATACAGGATGAGGTGTTAATGGTTCAGGAGGCAAAGAGAGAGTGTTATGGCAGATGGTATCTCCCTGCGGGTCGCATGGAGGAGCGTGAAAGCATTCTAGAGGCGCTGCAGAGGGAGGTCAAAGAGGAGGCAGGAATAGACTGCCAGCCAATCACACTGCTGCTGGTTCAAGAACAAGGACCAAAGTGGGTTCGCTTCGTCTTCCTTGCGGAGGAAACAGGTTTGAATCAGTAACAGATTTTAGGGCAAAACAATATTTAAAAAAAAAAAAAGTATTGCAATATGTCATAGTGCGACTGTTAAAGTTCGCAGACTGTGATTTAATTATATGCTAGTGGTTTCAGAGTGAAGTGTGGCACTGATACAGTGTTTTAGTGTCTCAGAAAGACTTGGTCCTTTTACTGTGAATTAAGCCCCTCTGAGGTGCTATTTGCAGGAAACCCATCAAACCAAAAGCTCAATGGTATACCATTTGAAAATGAAGAAAAATAAGACTTAATATTAGTATTGTAATTTTACAGTAAAATAAAATTATTTTTAGTACTTGTTTTTTTTATTTTACAGTACAGTAGCATTATTACAATATTTTTTTTTGTTTAATATATTTAACAACATTCACAATAAAGTCATAATTATTCATGTTTTATAGTCATATTGAATTGTGGGGAAATGGCCTATGAAAACTTGAGTGGAAAGATTTTTTTATTTTTATAAAACTCTGTTTATTTAATGATTTAAGTTGGTTTTTGTAAAGAGTAAACCCATTAAAAATAAAAACCAAATCATTCAGCCCTAAAAAGATTTTCACTCAGAAAGTAAAAAGTTTTTTTCAAAGTAAAAACAAAAAAATCTTCAAAGACCTTCAGTGTTTTTTTTTTTCAGATTGTTTTTTTTTCTTTCTTTTTTTATATTTGTATATTTTCTTTGCAGATACACTCCCCGATAAAATAATTTCAATCATTCCAGAATGATTAATTCTTTCCAAATAGAGCTATTTAAGTCATCTTGTTAAAATATTATTTCATATCACAATATATATTGGAAAAAATTATTTTTTTTTTCCCCAATAGCATGCAACCCTGATTTGATCTCTACTTTTAAGTTTGTAATAAGCCAACACGTTTTTTTTTACACTTCTGTTATTTATTTATTTTTTTTCTTTATTTTTTTAAAGGTAAAATGTTCAGTAGTTATCCAGTTAAGTAATTTATAAAGCAAGTACTTTTCAACAAGGAAAACATTTCTTTTATGTCATTGTGCCACCAGGAGGCTCTCTGAAGACAACGGCAGAAGCAGATTCTGAATCCCTTCAAGCTCAGTGGTGGGACCGTGAGTCCCCACTTCCTCTTCGCGGACGTGACATACTGCCCCTCATTGATGCTGGGATAAAATATCGCCGAAATCCCTGGTTCCCTATGTTACAACCTGTTGACTTCCCTTGTCAGGTTATCTGCCAAAGACTTTTCCTCACATTCATCTCCTGCAACGGTAACACAGACACCAGCGATGAGCACCGCCTGTGGCTGCTGATGAGCAGCAACGATGCCACTTCTCAGCCCAGTCTTCCTATAGCACTATCAGTTAATGCATTCGACACAATCCCACGAGCTGCACACAGACTGGTCAAGGAGTGCGTGCCTTCGTCATCCATGCAAGTTCACACATGTGGCATTCTGGGAGTGCAGCACAATGGGAGAATTCCAGGAAAAACAGACGGGGTCTGCTTTAACACGCTTGTGTTGTTGGAAAATTCAGAGGACGGGGCTGAAATCAGCAGCCCACCACCATTGGAGGGTGACGCTTACAGATGGCATGAGGTGACCAATCAGAGCCTGAGTTCAAAGATAATACAGAGGATTAAAGAAGAGTCTGTTCTGCCTGTTCATAGTCTATACTGATGCTCTGCCACCCTAGTAGAGGATCAGGACAAGAACTGAACCTGTATCTTCCACATGAGCACCAAGGCTCAACATGTCTAAAGCATGCAACACAGTTTCAGCTGTGTGCTTCACTCATCTTTCGCTCTTTGGTGTCTGCTCTCCGTTCTCAAATTCTTAAAAATAGGCAGTTCAAGTTCTGAATAACCGTTTGTGAAAAGGAAGTGCACTTAATTATTGATTGCACACTTGTAGTGTACTTCAAATATTATATTACTTGCAGGTATAATATTAATGAAATAAGGACACTTAAGTGTACTTTAAGAGACACTTATTTTGATGTGTCGACTAACATACTAAAACACGTCATTTTAAATGTAGTGTGTTATTTATTATTGTATTTCAGTTTAATATATTTTAAATGTACTAAATTGCAACTTTATTACAAATGTGTAATTCCGAATACATTTAAATGCATGACATTAGAAAGTATATTGTCAAGTACACTAAAAAAAAAAGGTACAAAAGCTGTCACTGGGACAGCACCTTATTTACTCCTTATTTATATTGTTGTACTTATTTTCCCCTTATTTTTGCACCTTTTGAAAGGGCACCACCCCAGTGACAGCTTTTTTTGATACCAATTTTTTTTTCTGAGAGTGTTGTACATTTGGCAGTATACTTTATTTCAGAAACAATATAATTATGAAGTTACATATAAATAGTTTATTTATTTATTTAAACTATAATACAGTTAAATTAAAATGTAGATAACATGCAATAAAGTGTCCAAAACATTGTTTAGTTCACACTTAAGTATATTATTTCTGTAATAGGTACTCTTTTTAAAAGTATGCTGAAGTGTATTTTTTTTTCACAAGGGACTCTCATACTTAGGCAGGGAATATAGCTCTACACAGAAAAATAAGGGGCCAGAATTGTACCTTTTGGGGTACAACAGCTTTTCCCTGGAGCAGTACCCTTAAAAGGACATATTTGTACCCCTAATAGGTACATATTAGTACCTTAAGGGTACGTATTACTACTCTAAGGTACTAATATGTACCTATTAGGGGTATGTCCTTTTAAGGGTACTGCTCCAGGGACAAGCGGTTGTACCCCAAAAGGTACAATATTTGAACAAACACATAGCATTGTCATAGCACTTCACCTCAGTCATTCATATTAATATTTTAAAGCAGCACTATGTAACTTTTTCTGTGTTCAAAATTTGCTAAGTGTATATAATGAGCGAGTACATCATGAATTCATCTTCCAAACCGCGTTTTTGTCTTATTCCGAATCACTACGGTACACTTATAATAAGTACTTATATTTGGACTATTGTAGCCTGGTCGGGTCGTCACCGCTGCGGAGTAACACATACCTGCGTGAATCGCCATAGACATAAACTTAGAGAAGTAGCTCCGGTTGGAATGTTCTTCCGCGGGATGTGTGCAGTTCTGTTTATTTAACCACTAGAGCGCCAAAAGTTACATAGTGCTGCTTTAAGAGTTTGTTTGCAAAAACAGATAAAAACTGATTTTATTTTATGTTTTTATTGTGTTAGCAGTATTTTTTAGTTATTATTATTTAATCAAAACAACCCAACTGCAGTTTGATTTATATTAATTAAAATGCAGGGTTTAAAAAAAACATGATTTTTGAACATTTTTAAAAAAGGAGTCTGTTTTTGTAAATGAACTCTTCAAGTCTTGATACATGGGTGTAGCCTATGTTTGATGATGATAAATTATGATATTTAATATGAGATACGAGTTTAGCAAACCTTTATATCTTAAGTCAATCGTTGTTGGGTATTGCAGCATCAAATATCTGTTTATTTTTATATTTGCATATTACATTATTAACTAGTACTGCAAATATTTTCATTTTTCACATTATACTACAGATATTACAGTTTTAAGGAGCAGTGTGGATGTATAGTTACCTCTGAGAAAAGAGCTCTACCTCCATGTCAGCCAGTTTGGTTATTATTTTATCAAATCAATTATATTAGCAGTTCTAAGTTACATTACCAATTCTAAAATCAATCATTTCTCATAATGTGCATGAGGAAAGGATCTTACATGGTTTGTTTGCCTGCTGCTTGGAAAGTGTTTGAGCTACTTGAATCACTTTCACGTATTTCAATTTTTTATTTAAAGTATATATCTTAAAATAGTTTTCCAAAACATCTGAGTGTCTAAACCACTATTTCGGGAAAAATAACTATTAAGATCTTTGCTTTATACTATATATGACCTATCCTGCTGTATATTTTGTAATAAATCGGCTATTATTGGAGTAACGATGATGGGAGTTTTAACTCAGTTTGTTAAAAGAGTGTCTGAGAGAAAGAATTTTCACAGCCTGCAACTGTGTTTTCCAAGATTATCCAAATAGATTTGGCAAGAAGTCATAGTGGCTTTCGTTTGATGAAAGTCATTATTGTCGTTTATGTGTTGGAAAATACGGAAACAGGAATCGGGTGAAGTCGAAAGAGAAAGTCATCTCATCGTCGTTATGCTGATCCCTGTTTTTATCGATGCGCGCGAGAACCTGAGGCTACATATTATATCGATCATCAGGCAAGTCTTTTATCAACTTTGTTGTGTCTTTCTACAGAATGAAAGTATATAAAAATAAAATACGCGTTTGTTTACATTCTGAATAAACTTGTTTGCTTCCCGCGGTTGACATGCCACCGCTGGTTTATCTAAATGAAATAATTCTATAGTAAATGCGGATGAAACAATCGATTTCTGGTTAGCAAACCCTCTAAACATAATTTTCTCGGTTTTGACTTTTATTCAAACATTATTTTTAAGATGTGTGCGAGAAGAATCATATGAACAGGTCTGACAAGTTGTTTGACATTGACGCTATCCAATTAAAAAAAACGCTCACCAATATCATGCATTTCATAAATGTTCAGTAGTTAACGATACACATTATTAATAGACATTATTCCTACATATGTTTAGAGAGTCTGTTTTAGGGTGGTTTCATCATGTCCCTGGAGGACACGGTGGAGATGCTTTTGAAGGGAGAGGGACTGGAAGTGACCGAGCTTCACTTCGCTCCTGAACAGAAGAAGCCAGTCACACGCAAAAACACATGCTTTGCTGTCTGTGCGGTCATCTTCAACTCTAAGGTAAGGTCAAAATTGCTACATAGTGCATACTTTGCTTGGAAAACGTCTTATGAAATCATCCTACCAAAAAACTATTCGGTTTTCCTAGCTAACAGGGAACGTTCTCAGAAGTTTGGCTAACGTTCTTCTGGCAAGGTTCTCTCAAAGTTATAAACAAACGTTCTTCCAGTAACATCAATAGAACGTTGGTACAAAGTTATCTGGTTTTTAGATGTTTAAAAGTTTGCAAAATGATCAAATAGAACGTTACCTCTCGCATAACAAAAAGAATTAAGTTATGAAAAACAGTTTTCATAACTTATAACGAGAGTGTTAGTAAAACCTGAACATATTTCTGTTAGCTGGTTTAGAGCTGAATAACTTCCTTAGGCTCTGTCCTTAGATTAAATAAAGTATGTGTAAGCTTCTTAAAAAATGTGATAAACACAAAGTGACTTAAAGGGGTCATATGATGCGATTTCAAGTTTTCCTTTCTCTTTGGAGTGTTACAAGCTGATTGTGCATAGATAAGATCCCTGAAGTTGCAAAGACTAAAGTCTCGAAAACGAAGCGTTTGAGAGAGGCGGGGCATAGAGGACCTACAATAATGTACAGTGAAAGAAAAATAATGTGTTTTTTGAACATTAAAGCATGTCAACATATTCTGTTACACCAAATACACAAAATAATGATCTTTAAAAAAAGCATCATATGACCCCTTTAAAAAAATAGCCTAAGTAAAGATAACTGGCCTCCCTAATTAACTGTCTTGCTGTAAATTTCAAAATGTAGCCAAATGCTACATTTTAAATCCTTTATTTGCAATTATCACATACATTATAGTAATTAATAAACCTGGTTATTCCAAAATGTTTAGGTACAGAATAATATTCTTGAATAAAGTTCATATTTGTGGCTAGGAGCTCATAAGAGTTACAAATTAAGTCAAAATACATGTACAATATGTTCTTACATCCATGCAAAGTAATGTTTTCTCAATAATGTAAAGTGCCTGTCTTTAAAGCAATACCATGTAACTAAGTCATGTCTTACACTTTAATAAACTTATAATAATCATTTATATTGTAGAGCTGTCAGTCAGGCCAGATTTTACCGAAAATTACATACGTTACATCAGAGAAAAGTAGCCCTGGCTATGTAATATGAAGTTTAATGTTAGTGTCACAACAAACTAGAAAAATTGACCATTAATCATTACAAATGACAAAAATTATGACGTTATTTATTTGTCTATCCACTCTGATTGATATCGTGTATGTGTACCAAAACGTTCCTCCGCAAGTTGCATGCAGGTTTATTTTTTAACCACTTTAACTATTTCTGTATTTTATTAGTTAGCTTTAAGTTAGCATCGTGTAGCTTTAAGTTATGTGTGTTTTTGTTTTACAGAACGAGGTGTTGATGATTCAGGAGCCAAAGGCAGTGTGTCTTGGTTCATGGTATCTCCCTGCAGGTCGTATGGAAGATGGTGAAAGTATTGAAGAAGCCCTAAAGAGAGAGGTGAAAGAGGAGGCGGGAATAGACTGTCAGCCAATCACAATGCTGCAGATTCAAGAAAAAGGGCCAAGCTGGATCCGCTTTGCTTTTCTAGCAGAGAAAACAGGTTAGATATGTAAACGTTTTATAACTTGCTTATATAATTGTCACACAGTTGCTCAGTGGTTCTCTCATTGTTCTTCCATCCACCAGGGGGCTCTCTGAAGACGCCAGAAGAAGCAAACGCTGACTCGCTGCAAGCTCAGTGGTACGATCGCGAATCTCTGCCTAAGAATATCCGTAAACGTGACATTCTCACCCTCATTGATGCTGGGATAAGATATCGCCAAAGTCCCTGGTTCTCAGAGTTACTGCCTGTCGACTTTCCCTGTGACGTCGTCTGCCAAAGGCTTCTTCTCGCATTCACCTCCAGAGACGCTAACCCTGAAAACGGTGATGAAGAACACGTATGGCTGTTGCTGAGTAAAGACTCCCAACTTCCTGTTGCGGCCTCCATCGAAGCACAAACTCTCGCATTCACAGCAAAAAAGCTGGTTAAGTATTGCATGCCCTCCATTTATGAGCAGCTAAGCGTGAACACCTGTGGGATTCTGGGAGTGCAGCACAACGGGAGAGCTCCCGGCCAAACCGATGGAGTCTGTTTAAACACTTTCGTGCAGCTGGAGTATAAAGAGGAAGAGGAGGAAATCAGTCTCAGCAGTCCACCCAAACCAGAGAATGCTGGTTTCAGATGGCATGAAGTGACCAATCAGAGCCTGAGGACTGAGATACTGCAGAAGATTCAGGAAGGCTCTGTCCTGCCTGTTCAAAGCATATGAATGGGAACAGATTAGCTTCTCCTGGATTCTTTACTGAAGACATTTAACACACATGGTGCTGTGAAGTATATTTTTGCTCTGGCTACGGTTTTATTACAGCAACTTTACCTTAACTATGTCCCTTTCAGCATTAATGCTGGCTTACACCAAGTACGATAACTGTAACGTAACGATAATAGTTTTAAAAATTAGTTAAATTCTAAATCTAAAAGAATAGAGGCATCCACACCACAACTATAACAATGGCACAGAAGAATTACATAATTTTAATCACTTTCTAAACAACTTTTTTTCCAGCTGATTAATGATAAAAAACATTGGCAGCCAATCAGAATCCATCCTGCTGAACAGACTTTTGTTTGTTGGTGTAGGCATATCGTTTGTATCATGTGGGCATTAAAGAGGTCATATGATGCGATTTCTATTTTTTCTTTTCTTTAGTGTGTTATGTAGCTATTTGTGCATGTATAAGATCTGCAGAGTTACAAAGCTCAAAGCTCAAACAAAAGGATTTATTCTATCTAAAAGAGAAGGCTGATCCAGACCGGGCTAAAACGCCTCATTCAAACATGAAAGTTTCCTGTGAGGGGTAGGTTTAGGGGTAGGGTTGGTGTAGGGCAATAGCACATAGTTTGTACAATATAAAAACCACTACGCCTATGGAATGTCCCCATAAAACATGGAAACACAACATGTGTGTGCGTGTGTGTGTGTGTGAGTATGTGAGAGAGAGATCGTGTGTGTGTGTGCGTGTGTCAGAGAGAGACAGTGTCACTCACAGTGGAGTCAGCTTTCTTAACCGTGGCTTGTGTACTGCAAATACATACGAGCATCATCACTGTGTCCTGTCACGCGACTCTGTTCCCCTTTCAGGCTTGAACTGATGGTGAAACTAAGGACATTATTTACTGTCTTTACATTTATGTTAAAAGCTGAAGCTCGAGATTATGGTAAGGGGCGTTACATTTCCGACGCGTGCTTGTGGTGTTCGGCCAATCACAATGCACTGGGTCAGCTGGCCAATCAGGAGGGGGCTTTGTTGAAAACGATGTGTTTGAGAGAGGCGGGGCATAGAGGACCTACACTAATGTACAGTATTTGAAAAATAATGTGTTTTTTGAACATTAAAGCATGTCAACATATTCTGTTACACCAAATACACAAAATAATGATCTTTAAAATAGCATCATATGACCCCTTTAAGTATGGTCTCTGTTTTTGGTGTTTATGAACTGTGGTGTCTATTTTTAATGATTTAGCAAGTGTAAAGTGAAGAAATGTTTACATTAATAATTAAATCACTCATATTTGCATATGAAATTCCGATAGGTCTTTCTTGCAATCATTTGCATACTAAAATGTAATTGCTTATTTCTTTCTAACATTAATAATATTTTGTGATATAATGGAAGGCGCCACAAAAGGCGTGTTATGTGTTTTTCTTATACACAGCTGACAAAAAACAAGACATATGCCAATAAATCAGTACTGACGCTATTTATTTTAATTATACGTTTCTAGTCTTACTGTGAATAATCACTTCATGTTATTCCAGAGCGAATTTTCTTTTACATTCCTAAAAATCTAAATGTAGTAACTTTCATTTTTGACTGATGTCAAGTTTTTCTTTTTTTTTTAACTCCTCCCACCCAAACACGTCATATAGGGACTACACTTCACAATTCAGTTAATTCCCAATAAACAGAATCAAGTCTCCTGCTATAAATTTTCCAAATTAATATCCAGTTTCATTCAAAAAGTGGTCACATTATGAATTACATTTAAAAAAAAGTTGCAGAATCAGTATCACGTGGACCCTCATATTGATGGTTTTGTCTTAGTAAACATAGTACATGGAAACATTCATATTATCATAAGTTATTTTTTGTTTCACAACTTCAAAACTACCTTGTGCAGCAAAACTTTTCATGAAGCTATATTTAGTTTCTGTATCATGACTGCATTTAAAAGAGTTGAGACCACAGAGACATTTGATGCAATGAAATCTGCATGAATATTTTAATTTCTTGCTGTGACAACAGAATTAAGCATGTATTGCGTACAGTTGCCAGACCTCTGTAGAAAATAAAGATCCGTTGTGAGTACCGGCCAATGGCAAATCACAACCACACAAACCTCTCTGGCCCTTTGATTCAGCCATATAACATACAGAAACACAAAACAACACTGATTATTCACAGGCTTTAGAAAGTAGATTAAAGATAAATAAAATTACTTTACACGCCATTATGATACACTTAAACAACTCCAGTTTGTATTTCAGAAAGAAAAGTTGAAGAGGGGATGTGCAATTGCCTAAAATTGATAGTGTAAGAATTCTGATCTGAGATCAGGTTTTCAATAGCATATCAATGCAAAAAAAAAAACATTCACAGAGGGAACTGACTGATTGGGCCTAAAACTTCTATAAAATATAGAATATAGTAAAAAACTTAAATAGTGTGCAAGAGACATTTTTTTCTATTGCTTCCACTTTAAGTGAAATGTAATCATACAGCAAGATGTACAGCTGTGGAGAAAAAGCGACTTCGTACATCACACAGTCATTGTAAAATCCTGTAGCAGCAGTCTGAATTTTAAAAATATTTCATCTTGGGCAAAACTGCCATCTGACAGGTTGACTCCTCCCTGACAACATTAATCAAAAGTGACTTGTATATCTATAAATATTGCCACTTAACTCAGTTCTGTGCAAATCCACTTTCTCCCAGTGATGGAGTCCTCCAACAGATGTTGTTGGATGCTGATCCGTTGTATTGTCTTTGGTTTCAGCATCATGAGTTCACTGCTCTTCTATGGGTAGTTTAACAAATGCTATAGCAGCCAGTTCCTTGCAGAACTCCTCCAGAACTATCACACCCTTCAACAGGGTCACATGATCCACCCTGACAGAGAGAACAGACCCAAGTATTAAAAAAAAAAGTCAAAACATTTAGTCAGTCTGACATTTCCACATTATAAATGTGGAAACGTGGAACAGTTCACCCAAAAATGGTCATCACAATGTTGTTGTATTTAAGGCTGGAATAAACCACACAAATTTCACCCAGATTTTTGCCCCAATTGGCAAATGGACAAGTCAATGCTAGTTGCAGGGGTTAAAGCAAAAAAAAAAAGATGAGACAAAATACAGATACTTGGTTCACTAGAACGAGACAATATTTTAATACTATTTTAATAAGAAATTTACATTGACAAAATATTTGTCTTTTAATTACAAACAGTAAAACAATGCGGTTGTGTTTTGAAATATTTTAACTAATCTAGGGCTGTAACTAATGATTATTTTGGTAATC